TTCTTGTCCCCAGAGGGCACACAGACATAAAGGAAGCAGAAAAGCGGGCGAGGGCTGGGATGAGTGTGTGAGTTTGTCTTTCCTAGAATAAACACGTGGCGGGGCTAGCTTCAGGGGAGAGGGTGCCGTCTAATGATAACAACACAGGAACTGGCTGTCGTGGCAAGCACAGAGACAGGAAGTCTCCATCAGTGTCATCTCTGGTCCCAATGAGGGCGGGACCACACTGAAAGAGAGAGCTGCTATTAGTGAACCGACTGATAAGTTACTGGCCCAGAATAGAATGTATGTATGCCACAGGAATACACGCACACAAATAGAAAATGTGATGAAACGAGCTATTGAGCTATGAGTGGTTTGCCAGAACGCAGTTATGACTTGTGCATGTTGTTCAGTTGTGCATCAAATCAAAGTTTATTGGTTGTGTACACAGATCTGTTATAGCAGTTGCAGCGAAATGCTTGTAACTAGCGCCAACAGTCCATTAGAATGTCTCGCAAATACAATACAAATACACAAATAATCAAAAGATCAAAACAAGAAATCAAGAAATGTCAGAACGATCAATTATAAACACGTGGTGTGTATAGGCAGTATAATTTCTAAAATAAAATGTTATGTACAGTAGTAGCTACACTGAGTGTACAAAACATTATGAACACCTGCTCTTTCCATGACATAGACTAACCAGGTGAAAGCTATGATCCCTTATTGATGTCACTTGTTAAATCCACTTCAAATCAGTGTAGATGAAGGGGAGGAGACAGGTTAAAGAATGATTTTTAAGCCTGGAGACAATTGCGACATGGATTGCGTATGTGTGCCATTCAGAGGGTGAATGGGCAAGATGAAAGATTTAAGTGCCTTTGAACAGGGTATGGTAGTAGGTGCCAGGCACACCGGTTTAAGTGTGTCAAGAACTGCAACCCTGCTGGGTTTTTCACACTCAACAGTTTCCCGTGTGTATCAATAATGGTCCACCACCCAAAGGACATCCAGCCAACGTGACACAACTGTGGGAAGCATTGGTGGTAACATTGGCCAGCATCCCTGTGGAACGCTTTCGACACCTTGTAGAGTCCATGCCCCGACGAATTGAGGCTGTGCTCAGTGCAAAAGGGGGTGCAACTGTATATTAGGAAGGTGTTGTTAATGTTTTGTACACTCAGTGTATGTTAGGATGGACTATGTGGAGAATACAGTAGATACATACACAGTGAGTAAACAACAGTATAGAAACAGTACAAGAGGTGACCAGCGTTCAATGACTCTATATTCATGGGCTTTAGTCTCATGGTGCAGGGCAGAGTACCGGGCAGGTAGCCGGCTAGTGATTGCTGGTCAACAACAGTCTGATGGCCTGGAGATAGTGTATATATGAGTGTGTTTCTGTGTGTACCATTGTGTGTGTGTGTGTGTGAGTACAGTTAGTGTTTCCCCTATATTTATTTAGCAGGCGGTAGCCCACCGCTGCTAAATTGTTGCCACCACTGCAAAAAATTAAATATATATATAAATTATTTCTGCTGAGACACACTTTTAAATGGATAGTCGTTGGCTCAATGACTGGAAGTCTATGGGAACAGCTAGCATGTCATTGTGCTAACGCCCCACTACTACCAGTTTTAGTGTATACCACTGTGTGTGTGTGATAGTGTATACCACTGTGTGTGTGTGTTGTCTGGCTATCTGTAATGAATCTCTGAAAATGACTATGCCTGCCAATATGGGGCTGATCAGAGAGAGAGCGAGTGGGATATAGACAAAGAGAGGGATCGAGACAGAAAGAGAAAGCAAAAGATGAGAAGTCTGAATGACCTATCCAAGTTCCAACTGCCTTTATGACAAAACATACCATTATCTTTTCATTACGATCAGCCTCAACTGTCCATCAACTGAGTTCTAAACATGGGGATTGGTTTCCATGGCTACAGACTGTGTAGCACGATGTTAGTGTGTGGTAGTGTGAGAGAAAATGAAAGTGGAGAGGTGAAAGAATCTCATACCAATACCAAACATACACAACACTTCTACTCCAAGGTCAGGGTTGGGCTCAGTTCCATTTCAATTCAGTCATGAATGGAAAAGTCCACATATAAAATCCCTTTAAATGTATCTCCTGAAGTGGTCGACCCCAGATAAGTTGGTTGTAAACAATCCGTCAGAAACGGTATCTGTCAGGTAAAGGTGGAGATGTCTACCAGCGGTCTGATTCTTTCAGATCAGTATTGTTATGGTGATGGTTTTGTGAATAACTCTCCCCCTGCTGTGTTTTACAGTGAAAAGTTCTACATTCGGAAACATTTTATGCGTGAAAAACTTTATTTATCAAAACACAACCAGCAGATATCTTTAATAAAACAGAAACACAATAAATTAATCACTAAAGCATACTGCGATGTCAGGGATCAGACAAAGGCATTCAGGCCCCTGACAGTTGTTTTGATCAAACTAAAAGCTGTCACATTACTGCTCTTCTGCATTTCTTCTTGAAGGCTGCATTATAAACATTCAAAACAACAACAAAAACAGAAATTAACAAACCGGTTATTTGAACACAAAACCGAGTGGAATGTCACTTAGAACCCGAGGACAAAGGAATGTGCTGATAAAACTGGCAGCGCCAGAGGATGTACACACACACGCACGCACACATGCCTAACTGAATAAATATGTCTTGCAGAGACTGCAGCATTAGGTGAAGGAGAGACTAGCATACAGTAAGCTATGTATTATCCATTGTGCTCAGTCTATATCTGTCTGCAGTGACACTGACATACCCAATGAGAACAGTCACAGAAGGAATCAGAACAACATGAACATGGGAAAGGACATCAAACCAAAACAAAGAACTCAGGAAGTAAAATGTGAAGGGGCCATTTGAAATCAAATGGAAAGAAAACATGATCTATGGTTCACGTGTGTGTGTGTGTGTGAACACGACTGAGACAGGGTAAAAAAAACGGTCATCTATGTCTAATCTCTTGGAGCCTGACTGTCACACATAACCTGAGTCCACATGCACGCGCATCGTATTTCACCAGTGCATGTTTCTGCACTAAGAGGCTCTCCCAATGTGTTTCAGATCACTCTTCAGCCAGCCGATAACCGTGACACACACACCCTCATCAACAGCTAGCTATTTAATAATTCTGCTCACCATATAAATTGGTTGTAAACAATACGTCAGAAACTGCATCTGTCATAATGGTTAATCAAAGCCTTTTCTTTTTTTACAACCAACTTATATGGTGAGCAGAATTATTAAATAGCTAGCTGTTGATGAGGGTGTGTAAAAGTCCCCCCCTCCCCCCCTCCATCTCTCCATCTCTCAGTGCCCTGCTTTGCTTTTTAGTTTGTATTAATAGAGCTTCAGTCTGTATGGCTGGGGACTTGATGGTTGGGGCTGAGGCCAGCTCCCCAGTGTAATGTGAGTGGACCTTTATGAAGCCTAGAGGGGAAGCAGGAAGATCTTTGTTGTTTCTATATCACAGTGAGGGAGATGGGGAGGGATTGACTGATCTTGTGTTCTGAGAATGTTTCAAGGTCTTTGATACGCCCTCTCTCACACACAGATACACACACACACACACACACCCATGATCACAGATACACAGTCTCTCTCACATTCATTCCCTCACAAAAACACACACACCTAGAATGCAGAAGATTATGATGACTCGTGGATTATGTTTGGGGATTAATTGATTGAAGAATTTGTTCATTAAGACTACACAACTCAAGGTCCAAATCGAAATAGATCTAACAACCATGGTATAGTGCAGTACAGACACAAGGCCTGCAAATATTGCAGATATAAAACATTACACAAATTCCAACCACATACTCAACCCTTCCCCCTGGGGTGAACAATCTTTCTCTTCGTTTGGGATGAACAATGACCTTGCTCTTCGTTTGGGATGAACAATGATCTTGCTCTTCGTTTGGGATGAACAATGATCTTGCTCTTCGTTTGGGATGAACAATGATCTTGCTCTTCGTTTGGGATGAACAATGATCTTGCTCTTCGTTTGGGATGAACAATGATCTTGCTCTTCGTTTGGGATGAACAATGACCTTGCTCTTCGTTTGGGATGAACAATGATCTTGCTCTTCGTTTGGGATGAACAATGATCTTGCTCTTCGTTTGGGATGAACAATGACCTTGCTCTTCGTTTGGGATGAACAATTCAGATTCTCCACGATGGAAACACTTCTGGTTTGGCTGTTGGTATGATCGGAACGTCGAAACGTTCCGGTCCAAACACATTCGTCTTTCATCTGCCGGAGTAGGGGAGATGGGGGGAATATTTGTGGAGAGGAATAAAAACAGAATGTTTTTAACTCGGCCTGGCTCTGTATCCCTCCATCTCATCCCTTCATCCGACAAATGAAGGAGGACAAGAAAAAGAACAGCATCACAGAACAAAGCAGAACTTCACAGGAAAAGCAAAGAATTTCAAATAAATAATGTTGTCTTTAGGGTGGAATGAAGACCTTGGGTCTGCTGGAATGGTTTTGTGTGTGGTTGTGATGTTTTCCTCTCTATCCTTCCCTGGAACTCATTTCACATCGATTGTACAGAGCAAAAACGGTTGCAGGAAAAGGATGTTCAAATATGAACATGAAAAATAACACAGGCATAGATACTGTATGAACACATACGGACATACACACCAGTGGATGCTGCTGAGGGGAGGATGGCTCATAATAATGGCTGGAATGGCATCAAACACATGATGTCCATGTATTTCATACCATTCCATCTATCCCGCTCCAGCCATTAACACGAGCCCGTCCTCCCCAATTAAGTTGCCACCAACCTCTTGTGATACACACATTAACCCTTCAACAGCCCTTCATCAATACCTCAGTGGATTAGCCATGTTGGGGGCTTGGGACGGTGGGTGGGGGGTAATGAGCTGGTAGTGGAGATGGTGGGGTACATTTGGGGTTTGGCTGGGTGGAAGCATGACCAGGAGTATGGATGGTTGTGGGTGACTACGTTTGTAACAGGTTGGTATGTGGATGGATGGCAGTGGAGCGAGAGAGAGAGCGAGAGAGCGAGAGATGGAGATATAAACAGCAGTTAGTCCCAGAGCTGTGTCCCCTTGTCCCATTGTCTCTCAGCGGGGTGGTCTGGAGGGACAAACACAGTCGCAGCGCTCGTGGTGCGTCAAGTGGACCTCCTCTAGGGCCCAGCGGACACGAGCTGTCTGACGTCGCAAATAACCTCCCACCTCAGGAGCATACTTCAACACCTAGAGGGGCGTGATGGAGAAGAGGAGAGGGGGGAGGAGAAGTGAGAGAGGAAAAAATACAAGAGAGGTGGGGGAGATGGCAAGGAGAGGAGAGGGGAGATGGCAAGGAGAGGAGAGGGGAGGGGCAAGGAGAGGAGAGGGGAGGGGAGGGGCAAGGAGAGGAGAGGGGAGAAAATGACTTCAATGGAAAACAATGAGATGCATGTTGGCTTGCTAACATCTTGTCTAATAGTTATCCCCCGTCTAATAGCTATCCCCCGTCTAATAGCTATCCCCTGTCTAATAGCTATCCCCTGTCTAATAGTTATCCCGTCTAATAATTATCCCCTATCTAATAGTTATCCCCTCCCTCCCTCCCTCCTGTATCAAACCTCATAACAGCTATATTCACAGTCTGTTCTCACACACACACACACACTGGGGAGGAGGGTTCTGTTAACCCTAGCGGTTAGCGAGGAGAGCCATCAACCGGAGTGTTGCCATTTTGAATCTGGGGTTTGACTGGAAAAATCTATTGGGATGTGAGCTGGCAACCGGAGGGTTGCTGGTATCAAATCCTAAATGCCATTGCTGCCCGTTATGCCCTTGTGCAAGGCACTAAACCCCCACAACACCTGCTCCACTGGCTTCCAGTGTGGCAGCCCCCTGTTCCAACCTCTCCAGCCGTTATATGTATGTAACAGTCCCCTGTTCCAACCTCTCCAGCCGTTATATGTATGTAACAGTCCCCTGCTCCAACCTCTCCAAATGTAACAGTCCCCTGCTCCAACCTCTATATGTACAGTTGAAGTCGGAAGTTTACATACACTTAGGTTGGAGTCATTAAAACTTCGTTTTTCAACCACTCCACAAATGTCTTGTTAACAAACTATAGTTTTGGCAAGTCGGTTAGTACATCTACTTTGTGCAAGTAATTTTACCAACAATTGTTTAGAGATAGATTATTTAACTTATAATTCACTGTATCACAATTCCAGTGGGTCAGAAGTTTACATACACTAAGTTGACTGTGCGATTAAACAGCTTGGAAAATTCCAGAAAATTATGTCATGGCTTTAGAAGCTTCTGATAGGCTAATTGACATAATTTGAGTCAATTGGAGGTGTACCTATGGATGTATTTCAATGCCTACCTTCAAAATCAGTGCCTCTTTGTTTGACATCATGGGAAAATCTAAAGAAATCAGCCAAGACCTCAGATTATTTTATTTTTTTACCTCCACAAGTCTGGTTCATCCTTGGGAGCAATTTCCAAACGCCTGAAGGTACCACGTTCATCGGTACAAACAATAGTATGCATGTATCAACACCATGGGACCACGCAGCCGTCATACCGCTCAGGAAGGAGACACATTCTGTCTCCTTGAGATGAACGTAAATCAATCCCAGAACAACAGCAAAGGACCTTGTGAAGATGCTGGAGGAAACAGGTACAAAAGTATCTATATCCACAGTAAAACAAGTCCTATATCGACATAACCTGAAAGGCTGCTCAGCAAGGAAGAAGCCACTGCTCCAAAACCGTCATAAAAAAGCCAGACTACGGTTTGCAACTGCACATGGGGAGAAATATCGTACTTTTTTGAGAAATGTCCTCTGGTCTGATGAAACAAAAATAGAACTGTTTGGCCATAATGACCATAGTTATGTTTGGAGGAAAAAGGGGGTTCTTGCAAGCCGAAGAACACCATCCCAACCGTGAAGCACGGGGGTGGTAGCATGATGCTGTGGGGGTGCTTTGCTGCAGGAGGGACTGGTTCACATCACAAAATAGATGGCATCATGAGGAAGGAAAACTATGTGGATATATTGAAGCAACATCTCAAGGCATCAGTCAGGAAGTTAAAGCTTGGTCGCAAATGGGTCTTCCAAATGGACAATGACCCCAAGCATATTTCCAAAATTGTGGCAAAATGGTTTAAGGACAACAAAGTCAAGGTATTGGAGTGGCCATCACAAAGCCATGACCTCAATCCTATAGAAAATGTGTGGGCAGAACTGAAAAAGCGTGTGCGAGCAAGGAGGCCTACAAACCTGACTCAGTTACACCAGCTCTGTCAGGAGGAATGGGCCAAAATTCACCCAACTTATTGTGGGAAGCTTGTGGAAGGCTACCCGAAACGTTTGACCCAAGTTAAACAATTGAAAGGCAATGCTACCAAATACTAATTGAGTGTATGTAAACTTCTGAACCACTGGGAATGTGATGAAATAAATCATTCTCTCTACTATTATTCTGACATTTCACATTCTTAAAATAAAGTGGTGATCTTTACTGACCTAAGATAGGGAATTTTTACTAGGATTAAATGTCAAGAATTGTGAAAAACTGAGTTTAAATGTATTTGGCTAAGGTGTATGTAAACTTCCGACTTCAACTGTATGTAACAGTCCCCTGCTCCAACCTCTATATGTACATGTGTCTTTCAGAGGGGTTGGGATAAAGTAGAAGTCAAATTTCGGTTTGGACCTTGTGTACAATTGACAAATAATATGATCTTAATCTTATTTGGTCAACGTGTTAGAGGGAGGCTACAGATAGGAGACAGGAAATGACTACCACACCGAACAAACCCAAACCCCTGCAGCATAAACAGAGGCAGATGCTTCCAGACAACGTTTCCATGACAGAAGAGAGAGAGAGACGACAGAAGAGGTGAAAAGGAGGGAGAGATAGACTGGTACTGCAGTGCTGTCTGATTGTTGATGTAGTGCTAGGCCTACAGTCTGTCAGGTACATCCGTACCACAGCCGTTCCTAATGCTACATAACAGGGCATGGTGTATGTACCTCGTGTAGTTTGTCACTGGTCTTGGCCGGGCTGCAGGTACAGCCGTTCCAGCTGTCCGTCCCACAGGCACAGTTCCCCCCACAGCGCTGCACCAGTAGGCATCGTGGGAAGAACACGGCGTTGGTGGCCCTCAGCTCCTCCCTCAGGTTGACAGAGTAGTTCCGAGGTGTACAGCTGTAGCGCTTCACGTCATCATACAGACGGTCCAGGTCAACTATGGGGGAGAGAGGGAGGGAGGGAGAAGCGGAGGAGGGAACATCATTGATTGCTGATTGCAATTTGTATTTACAGTTAATACCTTTGCATTAACTATATTGGCAACATTGTTTTATTTCAACAAAGCATCTGAATGTAAATTAATGGAACTGAATGAGAAGGGGAGGGGTAAATAGAGAGGGGAGGGGTAAATAGAGAGGTGAGGGTTGAATAGAGAGGGGAGGGGTGAATAGAGAGGGGAGGGGTGAATAGAGAGGGGAGGGGTGAATAGAGAGGGGAGGGGTGAATAGAGAGGGGAGGGGTGAATAGAGAGGGGAGGGGTGAATAAAGAGGCGAGGGGTGAATAGAGGGGGGAGGGGTAAATAGAGGGGGGAGGGGTAAATAGAGAGGGGAGGGGTGAATAGAGAGGGGAGGGGTGAATAGAGAGGGGAGGGGTGAATAGAGAGGGGAGGGGTGAATAGAGAGGCGAGGGGTGAATAGACAGGGGAGGGGTGAATAGAGAGGGGAGGGGTGAATAAAGAGGCGAGGGGTGAATAGAGGGGGGAGGGGTAAATAGAGAGGGGAGGGGTGAATAGACAGGGGAGGGGTGAATAGAGAGGGGGAGGGTTGTAGGTGGGAGAGAATATTAAATGACATTGATAATCAATAAACAATTGTTCAAGAAAACTAATCTTGATTGTTTCATGTAAGTGGTTCAATTGATTGGTTTTGTGTTTTGACCATATAGAGAATGCATTTTCCTAGCACTTAAGCATTATCAGTTGCAGAGTCAAAGAAAGAAGACATAACAGAAAAAGAATAAGGAAGAGACGGGGTTGGTGTCTGCTAGGTGTGTGTGTGTGTGTGTGTGTGTGTGTGTCACAGACAGTAAGATCTCTAATCCATGTGTAGTGTGTCTGTGTAGGCAGACTTTTCCTGGAGTGTTGGTTAGCGTGCTAGCAAGCAATAGGCTTTTCCTGGAGTGTTGGTTAGCGTGCTAGCAAGCAATAGGCTTTTCCTGGAGTGTTGGTTAGCGTGCTAGCAAGCAATAGGCTTTTCCTGGAGTGTTGGTTAGCGTGCTAGCAAGCAAACCAGTCAGCCTAGGCCCTATGGGCAGCATACTGTATGTGTGTGTGTGCGCATGCGTACGTGTGTACGGTTGTGTGTGTGTGTGTGAGCATGCGTGCAAAGGCTAAATCAGGACACCATTGGAAACAGACGGAACAGCTTCTACAGTAGCAGTTATCAACCCTAATACCACATCATGTAGATATGAGAGGATGGGTGTAAGTGCTGTGGCGGGGGCTCCAGCTAGCCTATCAGAGAGTGAGAAATGATGCATTGAGACCAACAAGATCTCAGGGTTTTACCAATTTGACTTCATATTCCGATGTTTGTCCAAACATCACATTTCGAAGTTTCTCTAAAAGTCAAATGAACACAAGACCCTCAGAGCCGGAGCTTCGGCTTACGGCCACAACACCCTACTATTGGTAATAGCGCTCACCGTTGCCCCTAGTGGGCGTTTTTTAAGCCATCTCCCGACATCCAGGGTACCTGGACAGATGTCGAATTTCGCCTTGGATCGTGAGTGACCTGGCTGTCGAGACAGCAGCTTTATGCTCCATAGATTCACCGAGCTGACAGACCCTGTACTGTCCTAATGTTGTACAACAGGGCAGGGGGCGTGTGTGCGTGTAGGGGTGTTCTAGGAGAATGAGTGTAATCTACAAAAGGCAGTGGTGTGGAACACTGCTCTGATACTGTCTCTGAGAGAGCGCGCCGAACAGAATGAGTATGTCACTCACACACTCCAGAGAAAATGAATAGTGTGTGTGTGTGTGTGTGTGTGTGTGTGTGTGTGTGTGTGTGTGTGTGTGTGTGTGTGAGCAGGTGTAAAGTATGTGTGAGTGTGTGTGTCCGTATGTGTGAGTGTGTGTCCGTATGTGAGTGTGTGTAAGCAGGGTTACTGGGTTCTGTACACCAGGAAGAGGCTTAGCTCTGCGTTCCTTGATAACATGGCTTGAGGAGAGCATTAAGATTGTTTTGTTCCCCACCACCTTATTGAAAACAAAGGTGAGAGACAGGAGTGTGTGTGTGTGTGTGTGTGTCTATATGTGTGTGTGTTAATGAAAACAAAGCTAGGTGCTGACTAGGGAACATTTCTGCTCGGCTGCACAGGTTGAATTTCCAATTAGAGTCTGATGTGGGTACAGCCTACCAAAGACATGCAGCAACCCTGCTAGTGCCGCAACACACACACACATACAGATCAAATCAAATCTTATTGGTTGCATATACAGTGGGGGAAAAAAGTATTTAGTCAGCCACCAATTGTGCAAGTTCCCCCACTTAAAAAGATGAGAGAGGCCTGTAATTTTCATCGTAAGTACACGTCAACTATGACAGACAAAATGAGAAAAAAAAATCCAGAAAATCACATTGTAGGATTTTTAATGAATTTATTTGCAAATTATGGTGGAAAATAACTATTTGGTCAATAACAAAAGTTTCTCAATACTTTGTTATATACCCTTTGTTGGCAATGACACAGGTCAAACGTTTTCTGTAATTCTTCACAAGGTTTTCACACACTGTTGCTGGTATTTTGGCCCATTCCTCCATGCATATCTCCTCTAGAGCAGTGATGTTTTGGGGCTGTCGCTGGGCAACACGGACTTTCAACTCCCTCCAAAGATTTTCTATGGGGTTGAGATCTGGAGACTGGCTAGGCCACTCCAGGACCTTGAAATGCTTCTTACGAAGCCACTCCTTCGTTTCCCGGGCAGTGTGTTTGGGATCATTGTCATGCTGAAAGACCCAGCCACATTTCATCTTCAATGCCCTTGCTGATGGAAGGAGGTTTTCACTCAAAATCTCACGATACATGGCCCCATTCATTCTTTCCTTTACACGGATCAGTCGTCCTGGTCCCTTTGCAGAAAAACAGCCCCAAAGCATGATGTTTCCACCCCCATGCTTCACAGTAGGTATGGTGTTCTTTGGATGCAACTCATCATTCTTTGTCCTCCAAACACGACGAGTTGAGTTTTTACCAAAAAGTAATATTTTGGTTTCATATGACCATATGACATTCTCCCAATCCTCTTCTGGATCATCCAAATGCACTCTAGCAAACTTCAGACGGGCCTGGACATGTACTGGCTTAAGCAGGGGGACACGTCTGGCACTGCAGGATTTGAGTCCCTGGCGGCGTAGTGTGTTACTGATGGTAGGCTTTGTTACTTTGGTCCCAGCTCTCTGCAGGTCATTCACTAGGTCCCCCTGTGTGGTTCTGGGATTTTTGCTCACCGTTCTTGTGATCATTTTGTCCCCACGGGGTGAGCTCTTGCGTGGAGCCCCAGATCGAGGGAGATTATCAGTGGTCTTGTATGTCTTCCATTTCCTAATAATTGCTCCCACAGTTGATTTCTTCATACCAAGCTGCTTACCTATTGCAGATTCAGTCTTCCCAGCCTGGTGCAGGTCTACAATTTTGTTTCTGGTGTCCTTTGACAGCTCTTTGGTCTTGGCCATAGTGGAGTTTGGAGTGTGACTGTTTGAGGTTGTGGACATGTGTCTTTCATACTGATAACAAGTTCAAACAGGTGCCATTAATACAGGTAACGAGTGGAGGACAGAGGAGCATCTTAAAGAAGAAGTTACAGGTCTGTGAAAGCCAGAAATCTTGCTTGTTTGTAGGTGACCAAATACTTATTTTCCACCATAATTTGCAAATAAATTCATAAAAAATCCTACAATGTGATTTTCTGGATTTCTTTTTCTCAATTTGTCTGTCATAGTTGACGTGTACCTATGATGAAAATTACAGGCCTCTCTCATCTTTTTAAGTGGGAGAACTTGCACAATTGGTGGCTGACTAAATACTTTTTTCCCCCATTGTATGTATGTTAGTGATGTGTGCACCGAGGAACTTGAAGCTTTCCACCTTCTCCACTGCGGCCCGTCGATGTGGATGGGGGCGTGCTCCCTCCGCTGTCTCTTGAAGTCCATGATCAGCTCCTTCGTTTTTTTTTTTTTTTTTTATGTTGAGGGAGAGGTTATTTTCCTGGCACCACTCCGCCAAGGCCCTCACCTCCTCCCTGTAGGCTGTCTCATCATTGTTGGTAATCAGGCCTACTACTGTTGTGTCGTCTGCAAACTTGATGATTGAGTTGGAGGAGTGCATGGCCACGCAGTCATGGGTGAACAGGGAGTACAGGAGGGGGCTGAGTACGCACCCTTGTGGGGCCCCTGTGTTGAGGATCAGCGTAGTGGAGGTGTTGTTTCCTACCTTCAACACCTGGGGGCGGCCCGTCGGGAAGTCCAGGACCCAGTTGCACAGGGCTGGGTTCAGATCCAGGGCCCCAAACTTAATGATGAGCTTGGAGGGTACTATGGTGTTGAAGGCTGAGCTGTAGTCAATGAAGCGCATTCTTACATAGGTATTCATCTTGTCCAGATGGGATAGGGCAGTGTGCAGTGCGATGGCATCTATTGAGGCAGTATGCAAATTGAAGTGGGTCTAGGGTGTGAGGTAAGGTGGAGGTGATATGATCCTTAACTAGCCTCTCAAAGCACTTCATGATGACAGAAGTGAGTGCTATGGGGCGATAGTCATTTAGTTCAGTTACGTTTACTTTCTTGGGTACCGGAACAATGGTGGACATCTTGAAGCAAGTGGGGACAGCAGACTGGGATAGGGAGAGATTAAATATGTCCGTAAACACTGAGGATATGGCTAGGGAAGCCGTCTGAGCCGGCAGCCTTGCGAGGGTTAACACGCTTCAATGTCTTACTCACGTCGGCCATGGAGAACAAGTACCCACAGTCCTCGGGAGCAGCCCGCGTCGGTGGCACTGTTATCCTCAAAGCAGACATCGGTGTCTGAGACGTGGCTGGTTTTCCCAATCCGTGATTGTCTGGAGTCCCTGCCAAATATGTCTTGTGTCTGAGCCGTTGAATTGCGACTCCACTTTGTCTCTGTACTGACCTTTTTCCCCTGTTTGCTTGTCTTACTGTTTGTATTCAACCATATTCCCAGTCACCTTGCCGTGGTTAAATGCGCTTTCAGTTTTGCACGAATGCTATCCACGGTTTTTGGTTTGGGTAGGTTTTAACAGTCACAGTGGGAACAACATCCCTGTCATGAGAATTCTGTTATCTCAATGGTTGCACTCAAGCTTTGAATAATTCCCAGAGGGTGTAAGGCTCTGGTTTAATAATGAATGAAACAAAGTCCCGTTCTGCAATAGGTCAGTCTTTTTATTCATGAGAGCTCTGGCGCTAAAAACACACACAGCCTTTTTATATGCTTTCACACAAAGGAACTTTGCTCCGCCCACCTTTAGGCGGCCTGTGACTTTCCACAGTATAGAATGTTTATTTCAGCAGTTTCTAGGTCCCCCTTACTATGGAATGTTCATCTCCAACAGTTTCTACCCATCTTCCCTGTTAGTGGTTTTATTGTCTTATAACTAACACAGTTTACACATGTATACAGTATTGGGGTGGAAACACTTTAGTCATTACTTTACACATACAAATCTATCAATCCCCTACACACTTCCTGATGAACTCAGTCAGCGTATATGTCAATGTTATTCTCAGGGCCAACCCGGAACATATCCCATTCGGCATGATCAAAACAATCTTGAAGCATGGCTTCTGATTGGTCAGACCAGCGTTGAATAGACCTTAGCAAGGGAACTTCCTGTTTGAGTGATCTGATTTGCTGAAGGGAGGGCGGGGGATGGCCTTACAGCCATCCCGGAAGGGGGAGTAACAATGGGCTGGAGTTTTTTAAGCACGAGTACCACAGGCAATGTGTTGATAGAACTTCGGTAGCGTTTTCCTCAGATTTGCTTTGTTAAAGTCCCCAGCAACAATTAATGCGGTCTCAGGATATGCGGTTTCCAGTTTGCACAAAGTCCAGTGTAGTTCCTTGAGGGCCGTCGTGGTATCGGCTTGAGGGGGAATATACATGGCTGTGACGATAACCAAAGAAAATTATCTTGGGAGGTAATACGGTCGGCATTTGATGGTGAGGTATTCCAGATTTGGAGAACAAAATTACTTGAGTTCCTGTACGTTACCACAAATCACACCATGAGCAGTTAATCATGAAACATACACCTCCGTCTTTATTCCTATCTGCACTATGTACTGAGAACCCAGCTGGCTGTATGGACGGGGACAGTATATCCAGAGAGAGCCATGATTCCGTGAAACAGAGTATGTTACAGTCCCTGATGTCTCTCTGGAAGGAGATCCTCGCCCTGAGCTTGTCTACTTTATTGTCCAGGGACTGAACATTAGCGAGTAATATACTCGGAAGCGGTGGATGGTGTGAACACCTCCTGAGTCCACTCCGAATACCTCTTCTCCACTGGCGGCGTCTTGGCGCAGCCTCTGGGATAAGTTAAATTGCCTTGGGGGGTACGAACAAAGGATCTAATTTGGGAAAGTCGGTTTTCTGGTCAGAATGCTGGTGAGTTACCGCCGCTCTGATATCCAAAAGTTATTTCCGGCTGTATGTAATAACACACAAAACTTTGTGCTAATAATGTAAGAAATAACACACACCAAAAAAAGATCTACTGCAAAGTTGCTTAGGAGCTAGAATCAGAGCTGCCATGTCTATTGGCGCCATCTTGCCAAAGACACACACGAACACAAACACAGATGCACACATACACAGACGCACACAATTGTCCACACACGCAGAACCATACACACATGAAAAAACCTACATACACAAACACGGATGTTCACACACTCTAAGCTCTGTATGGAGATACATAAACCCAACACACACGCATAGGAGTTGCTGACAGTAGTCAGAGTCTTAGCCAAGCCCAACTATTTACTCAGAAACAGGAAGTCCCTCAGAAACAGGAGTTACCTCAGGAACAGGAGTTACCTCAGGTGGAGAGAGCGAAAGAAGGAAAGAGCGAGAGAGAGAGAGCGAGAGAGAGCGAGAGAGAGAGAGAGAGAGAGAGAGAGAGAGAGAGAGAGAGAGAGAGAGAGAGAGAGAGAGAGAGAGAGAGAGAGAGAGAGAGAGAGAGAGAGAGAGGAAAAGGAGAGGGAGTATGGAAAAAGAGAGAGAGAGAGACTGTGTGGAAAGAAGAGAGAGAGTGTGGGGAAAAAAGAGGGGAGAAGGAGAGGAGAGAGGAGGAAATAAAGGAGGCAAGAAAGTGAGGGAAGAAGGGGAGAGAAACTAATAAGAAGGGAAGGGTGTGATGAGGAAATACAGGACACGACAGAGAACGAGGCGAGTGACAGTGTTGTGATGAGTCTGGTCCAGTCTGTTGAACACAGTCTCAGTGTTAATGTGTCTGGTCCAGTCTGTTGAACACAGTCTCAGTGTCAATGTGTCTGGTCCAGTCTGTTGAACACAGTCTCAGTGTTAATGTGTCTGGTCCAATCTGTTGAACACAGTCAGTGTTGTGATGTGTCTGGTCCAGTCTGTTGAACACAGTCAGTGTTGTGATGTGTCTGGTCCAGTCTGTTGAACACAGTCTCAGTGTTGTGATGTGTCTGGTCCAGTCTGTTGAACACAGTCAGTGTTGTGATGTGTCTGGTCCAGTCTGTTGAACACAGTCAGTGTTGTGATGTGTCTGGTCCAGTCTGTTGAACACAGTCAGTGTTGTGATGTGTCTGGTCCAGTCTGTTGAACACAGTCAGTGTTGTGATGTGTCTGGTCCAGTCTGTTGAACACAGTCAGTGTTGTGATGTGTCTGGTCCAATCTGTTGAACACAGTCAGTGTTGTGATGTGTCTGGTCCAATCTGTTGAACACAGTCAGTGTTGTGATGTGTCTGGTCCAGTCTGTTGAACACAGTCAGTGTTGTGATGTGTCTGGTCCAGTCTGTTGAACACAGTCTCAGTGTTAATGTGTCTGGTCCAATCTGTTGAACACAGTCTCAGTGTTGTGATGTGTCTGGTCCAATCTGTTGAACACAGTCAGTGTTGTGATGTGTCTGGTCCAGTCTGTTGAACACAGTCAGTGTTGTGATGTGTCTGGTCCAGTCTGTTGAACACAGTCAGTGTTGTGATGTGTCTGGTCCAGTCTGTTGAACACAGTCAGTGTTGTGATGTGTCTGGTCCAGTCTGTTGAACACAGTCTCAGTGTCAATGTGTTTTCTCTGAGAGGGAGGAAAGAGATGTGCTGACCTCTGACCAACTACAACAAGCAGCAACAGAGACAAACCTCACACACCTTCCCCTCCACCACACACACACACACACACACACACACACACACACACACACACACCACTCATGCTCACACACCTTCCCCTCCACCACACACACATACACCACTCTCACATACGCTTGCCGACAAGCCCCAGTCTCCCTATAAGAGCTGGGAGAATTATTATAAATAATAATATGCCATTTAGCAGACGCTTTTATCCAAAGCGACTTACAGTCATGCGTGCATACATTTATTTGTGTATGGGTGGTCCCGGGGATCGAACCCACTACCTTGGCGTTACAAGCGCCGTGCTCTACCAGCTGAGCTACAGAGGACCACATTATTATTTTATTTTGGGGGGAATATTTAGCTTCTCTCATTTTCCCCAGGTTCACCTTGAAGGTTTTGTACTGGCAGACTAAGAAACTCACACTCACACATCTTGGTGCAAGGGAAGGAGGAAGGCTCAAGTCTTTGTGCTATCAAGGTCTCCCTTCACTGAAGCACAGACCACAATATGTCCTCCTTTGAAATTACTTTTATTTGTGTGTGTAAGCTCCTGTGTGTGTGTGTGTTATTACTCTTGTTCTGTCTGCTGTTGTGGTGGTAGGCCCGGGGTCTGTACATGGCTGTCTCTCTGTACAAGCTGTCCAGGTCCTGTCTCCAGCTGTCAGGGTTGAGGTGGCGGAGGAGCTGTTCCACTGTGTTGAAGGCTGCTATGGTCTGGTCCAATGCTGCTGCCGTCAGAGGAACATCAGTCACCGCTGGAGCCAACACTGACAGACCGTCCTCCTGGAGGAGGGGAGGAGAGGGAGGTGGGGGGGTCAAAAGTTCAGAGCAGGGACACAAGGTCCTCTTAAGTCTTTGAGAGAGTTCTAGTGTGTCTATGTGACATATGTGTGTGTGTCTATGGACTGCTCAGCACCAGTATCTGAGCTGCCCTCTGAACTGTGCCTGTGAAAGGTTTACAAAGGTCAGGGGACAACCTTGATCTTTTAATCAGCCTAATGACTGGGCACTAGAGCCCTCTATCTATCTCCATGCTGGGACCAGGAGTTGTTCCTACTGCTGATCAGGAGGGTCAGGGGGTCTGACACTGGGCTGTGAGGGGCCAGGGGACCTTAGAGTCTCACCTGCAGTCAGTCCCCCTCTTCTCCTGAGTAAGTGCAGGTGTGTGTGCATGTGTGTGTGGAGCATGCTTGCATGTCTAACTCACCATCAGGGTCACAGCCTCCCAGTTAGTCTTGGATGCTGTAGGAGGAGAATCATCCTGGAGGAAGGAAGGAGAGAGATAATGAAGGAGTGGTATTTGGGTTATTCTGGTGCATTTACATAACTCCTGTCAGAACATCAGGATAACATCAGGATAATCCCTGGTTTAATTCCAGGTGATGGGATCAGGAGTTGGTCAGGACATGTCTGTCTGTCTGTGTTGGATCAGAATTCATCTGTCTAACATTGTGCTAATGGGAGTTTGCTACAAAGTGCTGAGAAGAGTTCACAGACAGTCCCTAATGGTTGAGCAGCATTCCTCTCCTGGGCCCAGATTCACAAAACACTTCTTACACAAAAACTTAAGAAGCTTCTTAAGAGAAAAAAATAAGTTCTAAAGACTTTTCCTCAACAATATCTTAAGATGTAATGATTTTCTTACAAACTTCTCAAATATCTTCTTATGAATCTTCTTAAGATGTGTTGCTAGGCAACCTTTTTAGCTAGCTATCTAGCTAGCAATGGCAATCATGTTAGCATATTTCCTACTGAGATTACTGTTCTAAAACATCTTCTTGGTTAAAAATAATCAATACTGAAACTTTCAGATTAAGTTTGTGAGTGAATTAAACATGTTCAATTGCTTTCATGAGCTTATTCTCTCTGCCCTGAGTTTAGCTATCTTGGAATTAAGAACACATTTTCAAGAATCTAATTTCTTCTTAACGGTTTGCTAAAGGAGAAAAATAAGAAATAACGCAAGAACAATTCCAATAACATTTTTGAGGAATAGCAGCTTTGCTTAACTTTCTTCATAAGTCTATTGTGTAGAAAACAATGGCAGTTAAGAAGAAATGTCTTCTTAAGAAGGTTTTTGTGAATCTGGGCCCTGTTCTCCTCCCCGACCCCTTCATCAGACAGAGAGATGAGGTGCTCTATGTAGAGGAGAGGAGAGCCACCACCCTCAACTGTTTGTGAAAGGTGATTTGTGAACACACCCCTTGCAGATGTGCACCTGCTGCTGGTTGATCTTCTGTGTAATGCCTCTCCTAAAAACACAGGCTGCAGTTCATAGAGCGGTCCACCACAGACCCTGTTTACTGGTTTACCTTCAGCTCTGTTAAATTAAGTTCAAAGTGACCCTGAGGGAACAACTATACATCTGCATAACATGCAGTCTGATCTTTTGTTTTACAGCGTCTGTTTCTCGTGTGCAACCCACACGTGCTTTGACAGGAACCCCTCTGACTTCATCCACAGCTGCGGTAGTGAGCTTGTGTTGTGTGTAGACTTCCTCTTTGCTATGAGTCTCATAAATGAGTAGTGTGTGTATGTGTGTGTGTGTGTGTGTGTGTGTGTGTGGCCCCTGCAGCAGCCCCAGATGTGTATCAGAGTTAGCATCTGACCTTATTAGGTCATAAGCCATCAGATTCAGTAAACTGTCCCACAGTCCTGTGCTTCAGAGGGGAATGCAGGGACAGCTGGGCCTGGGCCACACACGCACCTGGGACTTTTAATAGGAAGAACAGTTTACAGTGCCTTTAGAGTTTACAGAGTAGGTCAACGGGGACATGAAGCCACGTCTGGTAGCTGGAGAGTCGTGGCACACTAGACTAGGTCCTCCTGGGTAGGAAAGGTTTCAGATGGTCACAGGGTAAGAAGGGTTTGGGAAGCAGTGCTTTCAGGGTGAAAAGATAAATAACAGATATTGCCATAAAAAGGTATATTGCCATAATTGACTTGTGTTTCTTTAGTATGTTTCCATGCTCCTGCTACTAATAACGTGTCAGTAAGACCTCCTCTCAGACATGATATTTCTGGAGGGGATTATTATGCTTTTAGTATCGTTTTGCCACAGACGGTGTTGGTTTACTGGGAATATCTATTTATGTATTTATGGGAAAACCTTAGTGGGTCCCAGAATAGCTGCAGAGCCTGGCAACATCTGGGAGTCTCCGGGAACAGAGTAGTGTTCCTGAATCATATTCCCGCCTGGTTCTGGAGGATTCCTCGTTAAGGAAATTAAGAAAAGCACTGCAGCATTCAGTCAGGGTCATGGTCATGTTGTTGTGCTTGTGTGAATGTGTGTGTGTGTGTGTGTGTGTGTGTGTGTGTGTGTGTGTGTGTGTGTGTATATATTGGAGGGGTTGGGTTAAAGCAGAAGACACATTTCCATCACATATGGACTAATAAAGTATATCTTATCGTATTGTGGTTTTGTTGTTTTGTGGTTGTGTTATGGTTGTTTTGTGGTTGTATTGTGGTTGTGTTATGGTAATGGTTGTATTGTGGTTATGTTGTTTTGTGTTTGTGTTATGGTTGTATTGTGGGTATGTGTTTGTGTTTTGTGGGTGTGTTATGGTTGCATGTGGTTGTGTAAAAGTTGTATTGTGGTTGTGTAATAGTTGCATTGTGGTTGTGTAATAGTTGCATTGTGGTTGGGTTTGTGGTTGTGATGACAAATGACTGATAGAGTCTAGTTCCTCTTTGAGAGTCCCTCCCACTCGCTTGTAACACTCCCTCTTTCTCTCTCTCCTCACACTCCCTCTCTCTTTGTTTTGGAGGAGTTATCGGCTGTCAGCTTGATAGGATCTGAGACACCTGTTCTCTACCTTTCTCTCCCCACCCTCTCTTTCTCTCTCTACCTCTCCTCCACCTTATCTATACAGCAGGGCAGAACAAATTAGAGCTGTTAAATGAAGCCTCTCACAGCCCTAGGAGGTGGCTACTGGGAGGCCAATCTAATGGCAGCTTCCCTGTCTGGGAAAGTGTGTTGCACACACACACAAACACACACACACAGTGTCACTGTGCTGAGGACACACAGCAGGCAGCTACACACAAGGACAGAGGAATGAAAAAGAACAACATGAGGCACTGTGGAGTAGGAATAATAACAGACATATGCCTACCTCTCCAGGCGAAAGACAGAGGAGAGGGGAGAGAGAGGAGAAGAGGGGAGATCGAGAGGAGAGAGAGAGAAGAGAGGAGAGAGAGGAGATCGAGAGGAGAGAGAGGAGAGAGAGAGAAGAGAGGAGAGAGAGAAGATCGAGAGATGAGAGGGGAGAGAGGAGATATAGAGCGAGCGGGGAGAGCGGAGAGAGGGAGAGGAGGTATAGGAGAGGAGAGGGGAGAGCGATAGGAGAGAGGGAGAGGAGGAGAGAGAGATCGAGAGATGAGAGAGGAGAGAGGGGGAGATATAGAGAAAGGGAAGAGGAGTGAGCGAGGGGAGTTGAGACATGTCGAGATAGGGAGAGAAAAGAGGAAAGATCGGGATGCATAGAGGAGAGACGGGAGAGGCGAGAAGAGAGGAGAGAGCGAGAAGAGAGGAGATAGAGAGGGTAAGAGAGGAGAGGGGGGAGAGAGAGAGGAGAGAGAGAAGGAGACTTTCAGAATCTTTAAGAATGGAGAGGAGTGCAGAGAGGTATGGGATAATGTGTGTTTAAAGTCAAATGCTTTAAAGGGCAGAATAAAAACCTGTCTGTCTCTTCAGTGATGATAATGTGTTTGAAAACCAAGGGAACATCTCC